GCGTTACGTCTTGTTTATGAACGGAAGAATACGAAAATTAAATTAGTATACTAGTCTATTATTGATAAATTTGGACCACGTGGGAAAAATTAATTTAGAGGGTGTGGTCAAAAAGCAAGATGGCGTAAATTCTAACGTGACAAACTCAGATTGAGTTTCTAACAGTTAGATAAGAGAGAGGGGCTGTCTAAAGCATCTCTAAAGGCTGAAGAACTTAAAAGCAGTTTGATCTAAGACTCCTCTAGATTAGTCCTCTCATTGACAGAATTAAAATTGTGAGAGAAGCTTGATTAGAAACTTTAGCTTATCACTTTTTCTCAAAGTATTCGGACAGTTCACTCTTGTCACTTTTACTAGGTCATTTTGGTCAGTGGTGTTAAATAGTGGGTTTACTCTGTTCAGACCCTGCCAGACTATGAGGATGGGGTCTGAATATGCATGCACGTTAAGAGCTAGATTGATTTTATTTCAGTAGTTTTATTTCAAAAAGATGTTAATTGATGGAAGCTTGATTAAAAGTTTAGCTTGGCACATTTTTTCAAAGTGACAGGATAGTTCATCCTTGTCTCTTTTAATGGGTTATTTTGGTTGTGTTAACTGGTGTGTTTGCTCTGTTCAGACCCCAGCCATGAGGCCGAGGTCTGAATATGCATGCAGGCTAAGAGCTGGATTTATTATAATTTTAATCTTCTTATCAAACAATGTGAATTGATGGCTCGCCCCCTCAATGTTTACATTCACCTAGTTAACAAGTAATCTAAGAAGTTATTAAGAGGTAACTAAGCTACTTAGATTATTTTCATTTACAGTCACACCCACTACAAGATGCATTAATTAGAAATCCTACATTAAAATTTTTTCGTAACAACAGTTAAAAATTTTTGATGAAATCAAAAATTAATTTTTTTACAAAATTTTCTACATTTTACAAAAATTCAATTTTTTAAAACAAAAACCACTACACCTTTACTATGAATAATTTAACATAATATTATGAACATTAGTTATTAGTATAAACAAATCATGCCTGTTGATCTGGTTGAACCAGTCAATTCTAAAATGGTCCTTGTATTGTGCATGTTGAGGTTGATCATCATGATCGTATCATATGCTAGGCTGATTGTCATGCAGGCTACTGAAAATCCATGATATAGGTGTGACAGGATTGAAAGTCAGTCATTATTTTAGGATAGATTCTTGGTGCCAGTGTATCAAAAATTCCTAGCCCTAAAATTAAAATATAAAATAAATAAAAATATTAGTGAATATTAAATAAATAGAAATTCCTGAATACTGTTGGGCAGCTTTTCATTCACCATGATGTCAAAATAAAAAGTAAATAATATTCTAGATAGTTACATTCCTTTAATGCATGTGTATTCATATCCATCACATTGATCATAATCTAGATACATGTACATACTTTGCTATTACAGTAGAGGAACAGACCAGAAATAGTTAACAGAGCTCTCAACACAGTACAAATACCCATTTATCTACTGTATGTATAGTGGGAAATTTGGATGGAGTTAAAATTGGTAAATTGCTAAATTTTGGTGATCGGCAAATTTTAATTTGGCAAATTAAAGGTCACGTGCCATTGAGCATGCATATAATGGCTGAAAATGGCAGATTTTATTTTGGCGAATGGCTATCAAAATGCCAAATTCACCAAATTTAATTTCCTCCAAAATTTTCCACAATACAGTATAGGATTACTTTTGCTGTTGGATTTGTTTGTGGGAGTTCATTTTTAGTTTGTGAGCAAAAGATCATGAGCTATAAGCCTCCATTGAGTAAAGCAGAAAAGGTTTCTATAGCCTGCAATGATATCAATCAACATAAAACAACCAACAACTGATACGGTACACTTTCAGACACCATTATGCATACATGTAGAATGTAATAATTATTTCATTGTACATTAATGTATAATTATGAATAAGACTATCTAAACATAATAAGTGTACATCAGTTGATCAATATGGGTTACATGCATTATTACATATTCCTTACAAAACATGTACATATTCTAGTATAAAAATTTATAATTTTTATGAAAGTGAACATTAGAGATAATACAGTGCATATAAAAAGCAAAGTATGTGGGCATGATGTACATGTACAAACTAACCTAATAACACTTTGAGACAATATTACCAGTGTACTGTACGTCATATCTGGACTCAGTCACTTATCCCTAGAGTCACAAGTGATGGGAGCATTACTGGGCACATACTGTCTCAATGCTTGGAACTTCACAACTAAGAAAATGGTACCATCTAATTATTACTTGATAAAAAAGAAACATTTAATATGTGCTGTCACAAAAAACTAAGTATATCGATTGTAAAAGAAACTCACTTGGCTATTTTTAATCATAAGCTTGTCA